AAAAGTAGGTCATTAATTAAGGCCATGCACTTTTTTTTAAAAAAATCCTAATAATTGTTGCGGTTTGAAATGAAAATATCTTACCAACAAAATTGGTTCTCAAAGTCGCTTCAAATTTTCCTTTAATTATTTCCTCTGGTATAGCAAAGGACACTTCAAGAAGGCGCATATCCCATTTTCGTTGCACTCCCCTAATTTTCGAAAAAAAGAAGGAAGTCGAGTAGGGGAAAGAGAAGGGGAATATAGAGGAGAAGAAGATTCCTTTCTTGCTCCATCAATTACTATTTGAAGGAATAATTTACACGATGTAGGTATTGTAATGGCTTAAAGGCCTTCGGCCTAGCCACATAGGATCAAGTAATCTAATTTGTTTGTAATAATTACCTATTAAATAAAAATAAATAATAATTTACACAACGATAACACACGAATAACACCTTTTTTAAACTACTTTCTTTACTAACGAACTAAGAAACTATTACTTAAGCCGAACTTATCCGAGCATTTACGACGGACATGAGTATTATTAAGGAAACATTATAAATTCCATCCGTTTTGAAAATGGAATTGTTGTTTATGCACCAAGGGCGTTAAAAGGATCATTAGCACTAGTTTACGCCCATGGGACGACTTTATTTAATTTTTTATCACGTGTTAATGATTCATATTTACTTACTATACCTCGATTTTTTTAAAGTGGTCGATAATATTGTCATTGTTACACCTACCTGATAAAATGAATATATTTAATTAATTCGCGAGCGTCGTTCTGAACGGGGCGCATGGTCTCAGAAATTGTGGTCACCACTAATAAAAATAACATTTTATAACATAGGAGGTGTAACAATGACCTAATGTCATCGGCCACTTCATAAAAATCAATGTTTAATTGACTGGATCTTAACTTGAATCGGTTTGTAATATCTTGATTTTCGTCTGTCGTTTCAAATTTCCGTCCAGAAGAGACTATGTAGCGTCAGTGAACTGTTTTCGTATTTCCGTCGTACACGGTCCTTACAATCCAAGTTATGGACACGGTGAAAAGACAGTCAGCCAATGAGCTTCATGCACTAGTTCGCTTCACACTATTAGCGGGAATTTTAATTGTTGCCAGATTCCAAAATCAGTTAAATTGATATAAGAAGCTTTTTTTAAAAAAATATTGCATCTTTTATTTAAAAAAAAAAACCTTCATCGTGTTATTTTTGGTTGGTCATCATTGAAAATTGTACCTTTATGTCACTCAATATGTTTCTCAACACTTCTCGCTCTCCATGCAGTATGGCGACGAGTCTGGCCTGGCGTTTCAAACGAAATGCCCCGGTTGTGGTCACGTGGTTCATGACGCTTCTGGCTCTGCGCAGATCGAGCAGACGTCTGTGTATCTGGCTCGCTCAATCATGCCTTTGTCATCATGGTTATGCAGCGTATATCGAGCTTCTTATCGAAGGCATTAACAAGCAATAACGTATCATTTAAAAAAATAAATTTACTTTCATGCCCGCTCCACCCAAAACTGCCACCTTTCGCTTCTCTACTACCCCCGTTCTCCCCGCCCTGCTCCATTGGCATTAATTTTCAATTTTGATCTTGAATTACTAGAAGACTAATTTGCGCTGTCAGAAAGAATAAAATTCCATTTGTTATTTATTATAGGCTTTCAGGATCGTGTGATTCGGCTTGATGAAATTTTTTTTTTTTTGTCCAAATATTCGCCGGAAAGTGAAGACTGCACATGCATATTCTGCTTAAAGGGGCGAGAATGTAATAATTGTTACAAAACCCCATGTAGGAAATGCATTTTTTTTGGAGGTCAAGACGACACATTTTCATCATGTTCGGAATAAAATTGTTGTTTATATAAAATGAACATCATTTGTACATAATAGCAAATGATATGAAAAATCTTTGAAAATCATTAAAAAATGTATTGTGATAATTCATAAAACATTACTTTTACCTTAGTTTTACTTTGTTAGTTTTTACTTAGTTGTACTTTCCATATTATATGCATTTCTACATATGTAACTTGTAATATCTCTGTATCTTTACTATGTGCTGTAAAACTCTGCCACCGAGCGAAAGCTCATTATTATTATTATTATTATTATTATTATTATTATTATTATTATTATTATTATTATTATTATTATCAGTCATGAAATACTGTTAATGAAGCACTTTTCATTCAAATCAATTAATTATAACACTGTTTCTTTCGTTCTATAAAGATTTTCCACAGTACTGTCTAATGTTCTGACTAGTACCTCGATAGATGCAGCCTTCTAAGTGCATTCACTCTGCTATCCTTGCCATACATTACGATTTCTTTTTTCAGTCCTGGGATCCATGTTTCTCTGCGTGGCCATCTCTGGAGGCCCTTCTTCATGACGGGACCTTCTCCATTTTATTCTTCTATGCACATATTGCACTTATTTAAAAAAATATTTATTTAATGCTAAAAAGTATTATATATATATATATATATATATATATATATATATATATTAATGTAGGACTTTGTGTGACTAACGTAGAACTGTAAATTATTTGGGAAGGAGTGTATTCTATTATTTTAATTTTCTTCCTAAGGTCTTAGTATCTTATTCTATCGTGAAGCGTTACACCAAGCATTCTTCTCTCTACTTTTCTTTGCCAAATTCTTAAATAATTAGTATCTGCGGTGTTGAGAGACCACATGTATGTATATTATGTGTTAACACCATAACGTGTCATTACTAGAACTCTAGTAGTTAATTGTATAATACTTGTGTTGTTGAGTTGCTCTAATGAAGGTCAAAATCCGGACCAAACGTTGGCAAGTTAATTCATAAAAAATATTATGCCGAAACCTACGAACTGTGTAAAATTTAATTAATGCATCAACAATGTTCAATGTAACCCTCACACAACAATGTAACTTCACTATCTGTGAACGTGTTCTAGAGTTCAGAGATATATTAATCGCTGAATAGTTATTCAAATTAACGTACCTCGTGTTCTGGTTGCAGTAGTGATGCGACATCGATAACAAAACATCGACGTTAGCAAACATTCATGTTCAAATTTAAAATATCTACGTTAAAAATGCATCAACTAAAATGTATCGAGGTTTTTCAACAGTGATTTTCGACTGAATTAGTAACCTCTATCATTAAATTCGTGTGTATTAAAATTTAGTTTGACAGTGTTCGTGTTTATCAATTCGTCGTAAAAGAAGAAGGGGCAGACCCTAGCCCCCCGCGTATTTGTTGTATTTCTTATCTCAATGTGCGAAATGAATATGAAGAAAGAGGAAATACAAGGACATAGAGGTCATCTCGGGCGAGACAGTTTGTTCGACGAAGGTACTGCAATACTGCAAACAGCGTTTCTTTGATTCCAACATATGAATAAGTGTTATAACAATTATTATTTTATATTTTAAGTTTTACAGGATTATAATTTTGTGAAGAGTTTTCAAAAACAAAACATCGGAAAAGAAAACAAAAAAACAAAATCGATCACAAAACATTGATGTTAAAAAATATTGATGTTTAAAACATCGATATCAATTTCTTCACAAAGAGCACGATGAGGGTAATAGACAAAATCTGTAGCTTTTTCCTTTGAATATTCTTTTAATACTCGTGAACTAATATTTCCTTATCAATTTTTGCCAAAAATGCTGGTTTCCATTCGTATTCATAATTCAACTTGTTTATTGGTTGGGGTAGGGATCCTAGAATTTATGACATAGAGCGCAAAATTCACTTCTCCCTGTAGTGCGTTCATTACCCACATGGGCGGATTTATGCATACGTACAGGAGGCATGCCCATACGGCTGAAACTGAACTAAAATTGAAACTAAAGAGCCTCTTCTCAGTTGTCATCAATTTTTCTTTTAAAATAATGTATTGTATGAGTTTTTGAACAAAATAATAAAATCCTCGAAAATTAATTTATTAACAGGCTGACAATACTTTTTGCTCTGTGATAAGTGTGATAAGTCAAAATTAACTATATTTACATTTTTAAAAGTCATATGAACAATTAAGATTTAATTACAGTTACCGAAAAGGTGTATTAATGTTACATCGCTGTATATGCTATTCATATTATACATTTTAGAAAATATACGTATTTAAATAGATGTAATTTTTATAATCTGTTTCAAGATGACTTATTTCGTTAATATTTTCTAGTATTAAATGTATACAAAGATTATATAATTTTAAGAATTGAAGGTAGAGCAATGGTAGAATAATAAATAGACGTAACCACAAAAACAACTTATGTTGTTTACATCAAAATCTATAATATAAAAAAAAATAATTGATTTCCTGTTGAAAAAATTGAACACGCATATATTATGAATTAAATCACATTTAATTTTAGTCATAAACAGGTGACCAATTTTTCAACATAAATTATACTCGTCATTATATATAACGTTTTTCCTGGTCTATTTGAAAAGAAAAAAAAAATAGGCGGCAATTATTGCGTGCCTACAGGCGACAAAGATGTTAAGCTGCTTCTGGTTACACACAGTTTTTTGATAAATAAATGCTGCTCACTACGTTTGGCACGTGTGCCCACTGCGCGCTTCGCTCAAACGAAATCAAAAGTTATCACCGAAAGCGCTCTCCGCCGCCCACCCCCACCCCGGCGTCCCGTGAGCCTGTGCGAGCGCCGCGCCGCCATGAGCGTGGAGCGGGAGCACGGCCAACTTCAACCGCCGCGCCGCGGGACTGCGCTGCGTTCGCCGCGCGGAGATATGTGTCACTGATGTCTCGCCCCGCATGACGTCACACGCCGGCGCGCGCGCCCATTGGCCCGGCCGGGGAAAATGGCGCCGCCCCTCGGCGCTACGCCCGCTTCTAATGTACCGCGCGGCAGGGCGGGCTCCGAGGCAGTCGGCAGCAGCGGTGCTTGGCAAACGGGTTGGAGTGCAGCGTGCGACCGAGGAGAGAGAGAGAGACGATTTCCACGGGGCCGGTGCGGTGCTGCCGCGAGAACTTCTCCATCCGTCGCTCAACTTTCTCAAGATTCCCTTCAACGGTTCTCGGCGGACTACACCACGCTGGCGACTCACGCTGTTTTTGGACGACCGTCAACCACCCCGTCCGACAATCTTTTTCACTAATTAACAGTACAGTTTATGCGACTTTGAACGTGTGATCCTGGAAAAGTGCCTTTTATCGAGTAATTCGTTTTTATCTATTGAACAAGTGAGTGAAGTTTGCGAGTTGTTTATTCTTTTTGAACATACAGATCTACGATGTCTACTGTTGTGATGTCCAGCTCAACGCTATATGATTTTGGGGATATGTTATACAAGGTGAGTACCACTTTCGTTGGGTATGAGTGATGGTGTGTGAAGGATATTTGTCATTTGTCACGATCGTGTGTGGTTTATTTGATGTCTTATGCTGCTAGTGAGGCAAAGCAAATGATTTTTGTCGGGTTGGTGCTACAGTGTTTTGATGTATTGTCAGTATACGAAAGGCTGGGAATTTTGTAACGTTTTGAACACATCGATCATTCTTGGAATTTTAATTGAATGTCATCTCCCACACTGCATATATAACGATACTTTTTATAGTATATTATATTATTATCATTATTTTCGTTTTAGTGGTTTTTAATTATTTTAGTTTCTTACGATGCGAAATTCTTTACCTTTTACAAGGCATCATTGTCGATAGCCATACAAACGTCTAGTAATGTGTACATTTTTAGTTCATTGGGGGCATACTCAAATATCACTATTAGAAACAATGTCATTTCTATTTATGAGAAAGAGTTGTGTTAAATGCTATCGGTAAGTGCTTTGGTGAATTCAGTAATATGTTTGAGAAGAGTTAGATATTGTACAAATCTTACTTTTGTTCAGGAATAGTACCGCTGTTTTGTTTTAATTATTCGGTCCTACTGCTATTTTAATGTCAGAAATTCATAGTACATTCCATTGTCGTGTAGGTTGTAAATACATGCAATTTCTGTACTGAAGCGAATTTAATATGATCGCAAGTAGTATGTATGACTCTTACAATTTGTTCTGAGACGTAATAAGTCTGTGTTGTTTTATGTTGTACATGCAGATTATTGTATGAGATATAATTATGTGTTCATATTCGCCGATTCTGATAGGAAAAGTTTGACGCGTGCAGGAGAGAAAACTGCGTGGCCAGGGAAAGTTTTAAGAGTTGAATGCTGAACGAGCAAAATTGACATTGCTCTTACACGGTGATAGAAAGTAACGATTTTGCTTTGCCTGGCAACACTGCATGAAGTTTCGTATGTGGAAATTAAAGGTTTAATTGATGTCTGGCGCGCTTGTCGCTTCTGACAATGCGTTTGAGCCGACTGGTGAGTGTGTTTATTTTCGTTTGCAGCTGTTTTGTGTGTGTGTGCGTGTGCCATCACAGTTATTGAAACAAGTAGGTTGATTAATGTTTCTGAACAATCGAAAGCTCATATTCTGTAACGGTACGTTCTGATTTCTTAGAACGCAGTTGTTTTTGATTTCTGAAGTTTTTATCTGTTCCCGCGCTTTTTGATGCAGTGTTTTGTTTATGCATTGGACACTGAATTTTTATCTCACGGTTGATAATGGGTGGAAGCGTTCTTAGTTAAAGTTTTTCAAGTTTGTTCTTTGTGACATTGATAAAAATAAGTCATAAACATTTATTAAATGAGCGAAAAATTTCGTTCCAATTTAATTACATAGATGGCCTTGGTAAATTCTCGGTATTATCTGCAAAATATTAGTTGCTTGATAAGAGAGATATATGCTTGGCAAATATAATTTTATTTGGCATACAATTATTTTATTGCGCTGATCTTCACTCACACTAAATCATTATTACTCGATTACGTTTTGTTTTTGTGTGAACATAATTCCTTAGCAAGGTAATGGATATTAACTCTGAATAAAATATGAATTAAACTATATCTTTAATTCACAGATGTAGTATTTTTATTTGATTGTTGCGTGTCATGGCACCAATGTTTGCACATGTGAAAGTGAGAAACGTACCTTTCGGATATTTTCGACGTTATTTGAGTGTGGACTCGGTAGAAATCAGTCCAAGCGAACAGTGAAAGTAGATTTGCTTTCACGTCGCTCAAATTTAAGGGGATGTCAAACTGTCCGTTGATGGAAGAGAAACAGGCGTGATTTACTTGAAAAAGCGATTTACCGTACAATGTACTGTACATTTCGTAGTTGAACTAAATCGTCGAACAAGTCTTCCCGGTCTAGGTTTCTTGCTAGGGTTGGTGTGTGAATATGTACATTTACGAAATAATGTAAAATGTACGATATATTAAATAAATTGTACTATAAATGACAAGTACCACATATTTTGACAAGTACCAGATGCATTTATCTGACGTGAAGTTGAGTACAAAAAGCTTCACAAAGTTGATTGATTGAGAAATTAGTCTATGTAGAGCAGTTTTCCAACTTTGAATTCCGATGTGGTGACAAAAGAACAGCGGAGAAGAGCGTTTTTATCCAATTCGATTCATTGTTGACGACACTGGTTACTCTTTCGAGAACTAAATTTTTTTATCATTGTACCGTGTTTTTCCGCGCGACGAGTGATTGTGAGTAGGTTGCTAATTCGATATTTCAAAATGAAAGTAAAAGGCGAAATTAAAGGCTGTCGGTGAGTGCGAGTTTTCTTCATTGTTAAAATCTTTCGCAGATGCACATTCGTTATCTCAGCTAGAGCGCGTAGTTTGATAGATATCGTAAATGGGTGCAACATAACCTCACTTGCAAACGGGTAAATAAAAGCATGTCAGCAGAGACCGGTGCGGAACTATCGTGAAATATACCAAGCATTCTTTGCACATGCGGTGTAATCGTTTCATTTCAGCAAGTGAAATTTGATGTATGTGTGATATTAGATGTATTGCGTGAATACTGACAGATGGGGACGCAGTATAAACCATACCAGTCCTAGCCGAGAAATTTTCACAAATAAACTTATTTTGTAAATTCATCGTTATTATATCTCCTATGTTCGACACGTATTGACTTGGCCCGAAGTGTCGTGTTTTGCATCTTTTAGTGCGAATTGTTGCGTAGAACAGTTCAAGAATGTGTGAATTCTGTGCAAGGTAAACTTATATAAAACGGCGATTAGAAGAGTGTCCCGTGGAAGATATACATCTGATGACGAAGGTGTTGTAGGTAGTTGTGCGAGTATTGGGCAGTTTAGGAAGGACGATTTCTCAGCAAAACAGTTTTAATTTTTTATTTTAATGACCCATATTTTTTACCATGGCAGCGTTTTGCTGTGAACAAAGATGGGGATGAGTAGATTAAAAAGACTGGATCTATAACGCCACAGAAAACAAGGTTCGCCTTCAGCGAGGTGTAATAATTCGATTTCCCATGTCTTGACATTTACGACCTTCTGGAAATTACACTTTTTTGGTGAGGACACGTCTCTCCATTCCGTTGGCCGGTGTTTTTGGTCTCCAAATCAGTTGACTTCGTATAATTCGTCCTGATTCTGGTTTTCAACATTGTTTTTTGACACTCCCAGTAGGGAAAGGGTGTGAAATCTGTGATGATAGTTTTCTTTTTCTCCTTCTCTCTATAGATCCCGCCTGTTTGTATTTTTTAAATTTTTTATTTATTTATTTATTTTGTAGAAGAGGGGACTTTTACATTAAAATAAATTACTTCGGAAAGGTGTATATACGCATTCTTTAAAGCTTCTGAAAATCGCTAGAGCTTCTTTTATTTTTATAGTTGCTGCTTCAATTATAGGTACTCAAAATATTATTGTGCAATAGAGTCGTGGGAATTTGGAAGACGTGGAGAAAAATTAATAGAACATTCAAAGTGAAAACAAGATAACGGATTTCTCAGTGGTGTTTGTTCGTTTAATGCATCGAATTATGATGGTTTTCTTTCGTTTGCTTAATTCGTTGTCTCATCGTTAATCCTTATTTTCGTTGAATATTTTGTATACATGACTCCTATCCTTCATTAATTTTACGTTGATTCCTTCATTAATCCTTTTCATCAATTCATTCGTGTTTTGTTTCTTTTTGTTCAATTCATTCGTTTATTTAACTTTTCAATTGTTTTTGCCCACTATGCGTTGTTCGTTATTGTAGTCCTTCGTTCGTCTGTTCTTTGTTAATCTTATCTGTTCATTATTACATTTATTCATCCTTTCGTTCTGTGATTCTTCTGTTTTATTTTATTACTCATACTCTTATTTTATGTTTAATTGACAGTCCTTTATCCACTCTTCCTTCCGTTTATTCAATTATTAGCTCTTCTTTCCGTTTTTTCATTCTTCCTTTGGTTCTTTCATCTGTTCATTCTTCATCTAGTCATCCTTCCTTTCGTTTCTTCAATTATTCATCCCTCCTTGTGGTCTTTCATTTGTTCATCATTCCTTCCACCTTCCGTTTTCTCATTTATCCTCGCTGCTTTTTGCTCGTTCCTGTGTCCGCCCTTTCTTTCGCCCGCGAAGACTTTCGTCGGCGCGCCTAGAGCCTGCTGCTGCTGCTGGGAGGAAAGTAGGCTTGTGTGCCAGCGGCGAGAGGAGTCGCGCAGCGGCGGCAGCGGCGGCGGCGGAGAGAGTTTCGATGGGAAATGGAGCAAGGCGAAAGACGCCACCGCCTCCTCTTCAGACTTCATTTATGCCCCATTTACACGAAGAGGCGGGCCGGACCCGCTTGCCGTTCTTTGTGTAAAAAAAAAAAATATATATATACGTAAAATAATAATAATAATAATAATAATAATAATAATAATAATAATAAATACAAAATCCTTGACCTTCAGAAGTAATATCAGGTCTGTAAGAAAAGTCGTTGGTAATATGGATACCAAAGGTTTCGTGATTATTCACATTAATCTATAGTGAGTGTGTTTGGACAGGGTGTTAAGACTGATTTCTGAGTGTTGGCGAAGGAAGAGCCTTACCTTCGTGTCCTCCCCTTCCCTGAGCGGGCGATTTCAGTGATAGTTTGCCGTGGCCTTCTACTGTATGAAGGATTCCTTCCTTCGATGAAGATGATGATGATGATGATGATGATGATGATAAGAGATACGCTCATTTCAGAGCGAAGGCGAAGCAGGAGCCGAACGCGTTCGTGGCCTCTCCTTTCTTGGAAGGTGATCTCAGTAGTGGTTTGCCTTCTCCTAGTGAATGAAGGATTCCTTCCTCGGATGATAATTGCTATACTCATTTCTGCGCTGAAGCGAGGGAAAATGTCTATGCCATGATCTCCCCTTCCCTGTGAACGTGGCCACTTTAACGGTTAGGCTTTGCCGCCCTCTGCATTATAGATTACAGTGAA